CACCTTTCTGGGTCACATCATGTCCGCAGATGGAGTGAAGCCAGACCCAAGAAAGATTGAAGCAATTACCAAAATGCCCGTTCCAACAAGCCCTGCCGAACTTCAGCGTTTTCTTGGGATGGTGAACTATCTTGGTAAATTCATCCCAAACCTATCAGACGAAACTGCGCCATTACGAGCCCTCTTGAAGAAAGGAGCCGAGTTCTTAATGCAGAAACCCCAAATTGATGCCTTTGAAAAGCTCAAGCGTCGGAGTTCATCTGTTCCTGTCCTACAGTTCTACGACCCAAATCTCCCTACTCGTATTCGGACAGACTCTAGCTCTATTGGGTTAGGTGCAATGCTTGAGCAACGCATAGATGACTCCTGGCATCCCATTGCATTTGCCTCCAGAACACTCGAAAAATCAGAACAAAATTATGCTCAGATAGAACGTGAAACTCTTTCAGTCGTATTCGGATGTGAACGGTTCCACGAATACCTCTATGGTCGGGAATTTATCGTACACAATTATTATTATTATTTATTATTATACAATTTACCAAAATCGTGATGGTAATGACATAGTTTGTCAACAAAAAACTGATAAAAGAGCTGAATAATGAGCTGATTGGTCGCAATCAGCTCAAAATTGAGCTGATTGGCAAAGTTCTCCATATGAATGTCTGGCATATAACCAGAAATTATTATTATTATTTATTATTATACAATTTAGAAAAATCGTGATGACAATGACATAGTTCGTCAACAAAAAACTGATAAAAGAGTAAGTCAAACCTTGCATTTGTTTCCACAAGAATCTTTCTGCTTCACGCACACGACGCTTCTCGTATTCTCATTCCTCAAACAATCAAAGAGTGTCTTTGTGCAGTTTTTCTGTGAAAACGATCATTATAGTTAGCACACATACCGCAACGATTCTAAAATCTATTTATATATATTTCAAAAATAAGATGCTCAAAATACGTCTAACGGTTCGGCATAATTTTACAATAGCCAGTTAAACTACATTTTATATATCTCAAATTTCAAATTTTTCGAATGATCTGTAACATTATCTGTTATTGTTTGGTCACCCTACACACTAAGACACCTGACTGAAGAGACTGGTCGCGCGGACAGATTTCATTGACATTGGCTCATGTTAAACTTTCTTAAGATAAGATAAGATAATTTTTATTTATACTCTTTCATTACATAGTGCGAATTTGAAAAACACAACAACAATTACAAATACAGAAATTAGAGTAAAGGCTACCTATAATAACTATATAAAAGCTAATAAATTTAGGTAGCACATGTGACTCTACTTGGAGACAAAACAAGACGGCAAATAAGAAATTACAATAGAAAAAGAAAAAGACTTAGCTCACTAATACATCAAAACGTTATCATAGAAGACAAAAAACAGACGACACACACATAAATATAAAGTTATTTACATGGAAGTATAAATATTGTATCATCAAAGATGTCTACAAAACCAGATTCGTCAAAGGTACGGTTGATGGAGTGATTTTTTTAATGACGCCTTAAATTTACATCTTTTTAAGGATTTTATTTCCATATCAATGGAATTCCAGACTACGCTGCCACGATAACGTATGTTGAACTTGCCATAATTTGTTCGAACTTTTGGAAGGTATAGTAGCTGTTTAGCAGAAGACCTCGTATTGTAATTGTGCACCTCAGTAACATTTTTAAAGAAATTATCAAATATAGTTGGTAAATTGCCGGTGTGAAAATCAAACATAAATAGAGCATTTTGATAATATATTAAGTCAGGAAACTTAAGTATGTTAAGGTGCTTAAAAAGTGGAGAGGTATGACTTTTGAAGCTAGAGAATGTTATCATTCTTACTACCTTTTTTTGTAATAAAGTTAAAACATTTAGGTTGGATGCATATGTATTACCCCATACCGTTAAAGCATATGTTAGATATGGATGAATCAATGTATAGTATAATTGTTGGAGTATTTCTGTGCCAACGAAGTAGCGAATTTTTGAAATAATACCAATACAGCGTTTAATTTTTTTTGCCAAATGTGAAATATGATATTTCCAGCTTAAGTTTGAATGGAGTAGAATTCCTAAATACTTAATATACTTTTCTTGTTTAATTCGATTATTTCTGATCAATAATGAATTAATCAATATCTCATTTCTATTGTAATTTCTTATTTGCCGTCTTGTTTTGTCTCCAAGTGGAGTCACATGTGCTACCTAAATTTATTAGCTTTTATATAGTTATTATAGGTAGCCTTTACTCTAATTTCTGTATTTGTAATTGTTGTTGTGTTTTTCAAATTCGCACTATGTAATGAAAGAGTATAAATAAAAATTATCTTATCTTATCTTATCTTTCTTACAAAGGAAAATGGTTTCATATCATACGACCAGTCGTCGAAGAGAATTAAAATTAGACAATCAGGGAACGACATTCCGACATAAACTGACAAATCAGAGCAGATGATTTCTTATCTCAGCGACTTCTCGCAAAGTATATTGCTTCGTTTGAACACATACAATATCCCGCCACTACTTGTGGGCTGCAATTGTCTTCCGTTTGAACGTTTGCTGGTCCCTTGACCGAATTTTGAAACCTGTCGGCCCGTGTGATGAATGACTAATTTTGAAAATTAAAACATGACTATTTGCGTAGGAAAACTAAAAATAGGAATTTCAAATAAATATTTTCGTTTAAAACATACCCAACAATCTTGGATAGCTAAGGTGCTATTCCTGGTGCGATTCTATATCAACAAAATATTCACAATTACCATTTTTGAATTCACGAAACAAACTCACGGGCATAATTCAACAAAACTCTAAAGTGCGCCCAAGAAAAGGATTGTTCCTCGATGTTTACGTTAGGAGTAGAGATAACATGGTAGTCACCTGGCATTTAACAGTTGTTCTGCAATCTCGAGTCAAAATAGTATGAATGGCCATTCACTCAATTCACGTTGCTTACATATTCCAGTCCCAGGATTGAGGTTCTTATTGTCAATAAAACCTGGTTGCAATTATAATGACTATTTGGTACATTAGCTACATTATACTTTCACAGACAATAAAGAAAACCTATTGTATACACTACTGTCTTGAGAAAGGAAATCTTAACGTACCTTCCTGCAACCTTGAAAACATTTTTTTAATTTCTCTATGCATTCATCGCGGGTAGAACTTCCATTCGTACAGTCAATTAAATCAACAAAACACTTTTCCTATAAATAAAGCAGAAAGTTTTCAATACTCAGTATTTTGGATACTCAGGAGCTACGATAATTGTATAATTATAAAAAATGCAAAATACTTACCCAACAATTCTTGCCGCCCTTTCCTCGACGTTGTTCTCCTCCACGATCACCTCTCTTATCATCCCTGTCGTAATCATCATCGCAATCGTCATCATCGTCCTTACCACTCCTTCCTCGACCACGTTCTCCTCCCCTACGACGACCTGTCTTTTCACCGTCTCTATCTTCTCTATCTTTATCGTTATCTTCTCTGTCGTAATCATCATCGCAATCGTCATCATCGTCCTTACCACTCCTTCCCCGAACACGTTCTCCTCCCCTACGACGACCTCTCTTTCCACCGTCTCTATCTTCTCTATCTTTATCGTCATCATCTCTGTCGTAATCATCATCGCAATCGTCATCATCGTTCTTATCACTTCTTCCCCGACCACGTTCTCCTCCCCTACGACGACCTGTCTTTCCACCGTCTCTACCTTCTCTATCTTTATCGTCATCATCTCTATCGTAATCATCATTGCAATCGTCATCATCGCCTTTACTACTCTTTCCCCGACCACGTTCTCCTCCCCTACGATAACCTCTCTTTACACCATCTCTATTTTCTCTATCTTTATTGTCATCATTCCTGTCGTAACCATCATCACAATCATCATCATCTTGTCTGTCATTCATTCTCGAACCACGTTTTCTTTCCCGACCACGATCTCTCCTTTCATCGTCTCTGTTTTCTCTATCTTTGACGTCATCATCATTCCTGTCGTCACAATCATCATCATTCTCCCAATCACTACTTCCCCGACCACGTTTTCTTCCCCTACGTTGACTTCTCCTTCCATACTCTTTGTCATTTTCATCCTCGTCATCTTCGTATTTGCGATCGTCCTAGGTGATCAATAGTAAAGATTTTTTAAAAATATATCGAGTGATGAAATAACCTTTCTTCAAAAGGACTTTCATTGATTTATGATAAGGTTAGGAGATCTTAAGATTCACGCCAGATTTTATGCACTATATACAACAAGAACACAGCAAATTGTTCCATCTGAAGCGATTGGAATTGATAATTTAGATGGCTCTGCAGCATTATTTTCTTTTCATTTGCGTTTCGCCGGCATATTAGCAAGTTCTTTTTTGTCTGTTTGTTTCGCACATATTGTTATAAACTGATGAGTAAATGACAACGAAAAACCTAAGCAGAACACGCTTGAATAAGTTAAATCTGACAGGTTCACAGTTTGCGGTGATAAAACAGAACGGAGAAGCGTAGCATAGCCCCCCCCCCCCTCCCCCCATCAATCTCTTTTTGTCATTTACTTGTAATGAAATGTTCTCAGATTGTCCCCACAAAAAATAGAAGTGCACCGCATGCATACGTTTTATCCGAATCCTTCATCCAAAGTTTGGCACATTATTGAGCAACAGTATAGGAGTATGCAAAACCGTGTTCGTGTCTTTTGATTTGGTGTCATACTTTTCAAGTTATAGGAATCTGTTCTTTGTCTGCTTTATTTCAAAACAAATAAAAGTAAATAAAATACGAACATTTCTTTGTCCTTTGATCTTTTGAGACGGGAAATATAATGTCTTGGAAGCCCTTGCACCAAATGAAAAAGCGTGCAATTTTATTACGCTAAACACGTCATGTTTTCAAAAGCAAATCGTCGCAACTACAGTTTTTAAAGATGTACAATTTTTTTATTAAATCGCAATCCCCGGCAATGGTTTATGATCATGCATATTTAATTTGTGCGTAAAAATAGAAATTGCGCATACTGATGCGGTTTTAGATAAAATTGGTTTCTATCAAGTAACCTTAATAAAATAATTGGTTCAATAAAATTGATATCACGTACCAAATTACCTTACATACTAAATTTACATTAGATATACCAAGAAATAATTGTGAGTGGTTCAAGTAAAAACAAAACGTTATGCACAGCATACGGAAAACTTTTTACTATTTCATAACCAACATAATGTCAACTATTAAAAATGGTAAATGCGCCACCAGGATTCATAATAAAGTTTCTGAAACGTGTTCTGATCGTAAAGTTTCTGAAATCCGTTTTTACTTGAACCACTTACAATTACTAGGCCCTATTGTATATCAAGTTGGTAAGTTTAGTGATGTCGCAGGTGATGAATCAAATTAAAAATGATCTGACTAGTTTATAATTTGTTTTGGTGGCTTGTGCCTGGGAAAGTTCTCTGTATATGAATGTCAGGGGTATAACCAAAAATACATAAATTTTCGACATAAAACTTATAAAATAACTAATTCAGACCTTGCATTTCCTTCCACAAGCATCTTTCTGCTTCACGCACACGGCGCTTCTCGTATTCTCATTTCCCAAACAATCAAAAAGTGTCTCTGTGCAGTTTTTCTGTGAAAACGATCATTATAGTTAACACACATGCAGCAACGGTTATAAAATCTACTTTTAGCTATTTCGAAAATATGATGCTCATAATACGTCTAATGGTACTAAATGTTTGGGATAATATTGCGAATACCCAATTAAATTACATTTTTCATATTTTAAATTAATTTGTAATTTTTCAAATGAACTGTAACAACATTACTTCCTATTGTTCGGTCACACTCACAGTAAGAGACTGTAAGAGTTATCTCGGAGAGACTGGCCCCGCGGACAGATTTCATTGTTTCGCCTATGTTCAAGCCTTTTACAAAGGAAATTGGTTTCATCTCAAACATTCATGCAGTGGTGAAGGCAAGTTAATATTGGGCAATCAGAGAAGAACATTCTGACATAAATTGACAAATCAGACAAGGTCATTTCTTGTCTCAGCGACTTCTCGTAAAGAAATCTCACTTCATGTGACAACATATCGCGCCACTAGTTGTGGCCTCCAAATTGTCTTCCGTATGAATGTTTGAGGGAGCCCCCTGACCAATCCCTGAGACCTGTTGCCCCATGAATAACTAATCTTGAGTATTAAAATTGCGTGCAGAAATTTCAAATAAATATTTTCATTTTAATTTAAACTTACCCAGCAATCTCGAACAGCTAAGGTGCTATTCCTCGTACGATTCTATATCAACAAAATATTCACAATAACCATTTTTGAATTCTGGAAATAAATTCTTGTGTATAATTTAAATTAACACAACTGCAAGCAGGTGCGCCGAAGAAAAGTATTGATCCTCGATGATTACGTCAGGAGCAGAGGTAGGATGGCTGTGACCTGGTGTTGGACAGTTATTATGCTATCTCAAGTCAAAATAGTATGAATGACTACGCAGTCACTCAATTCACGTTGGTTGTCTACATATTCCAGTCATCGGGATTAAAGGTTTTTCATAGTCAATGAAACCTCTTTGCATTCAAAATGACTACTTGGAGCATTAGCTATACTTTTACAGACAATAAAGATTAAAGAAACTTGTGTACACTACTGACCTGCGCAAGGAAATCTTAATTAACATACCTTTCTGCAACCTTGAAAACAATTTTTTAATTTGTCTATGCATTCACCGCGGGTTGAACTACCATTCGTACAGTCAATTAAATTAACAAGGCACTTTTCCTATGAAATAAAGCAAAACGTTTTATATACGTGTATTCAGTAGGTATGATAATTGTAATATTATAAAAAATGGAAAATACTTACCCAACAACTCTTGCGGCCTTTTCCTCGACGACGTTTTCCTCCGCGATCATCTCTCTTATCATCCCTGTTGTAATCATCATCACAATCATCATCATCGTCCTTACCACTCCTGCCCGGACCACGTTCTCCCCTACGACGACCTCTCTTTCCACCGTCTCTATCTTCTTTACCTTTATCGTCATCATCCCTGTCGTAATCATTGTCGCAATTATCATCATCGTCCTTACCACTCCTTCCCGGACCACGTTCTCTCCTACGATGACCTCTTTTTCCACCGTCTCTATCTTCTCTATCTTTATCGTCATCATCCCTGTCGTAATCATCATCACAATCATCATCATCCTTCCAATTACTGTTTCCCCGACCACGTTGACCTCTCTTTCCATATCCTTTCCCATCTTCATCCTCGTCGTCTTTGTATTCGCGATCGTTCTAGGTAATTAAAATAAAGCTTTATTGAGAAAACATTCAGTGATAAAATAGCCTTATTTCAAATGGATTTTTATTGATTTATGTTGAGGGGCAGGAGGTGTTACGATTGCCAAAAAGTTTTCCGAAAGTATTAAAATGCTGCCGAGACATAAATATTGTCTAACAGCCTGTTTGTTTAATATCTTTTATCATACTTTATACATTACATACAACAGCAATCCAGCAAAATTATTTCTCTGGAGCGGTTGGAAGTGACCATTTAGATCGATGGCTCGATCTGTAACATTGTCTTCTCTACATTTGCGTTTTGTTAGTTCAAAAATTGGTTCAAAAATTTAAAATATCGATATCAAGAAAGAATTATTACAGTACATTGGGTTGGCCATTTAATGATATTTCTGAATGGCGAATCAAAAATGACATGATTGGTCTATATTTCGTTCTGGTGGTTTGGGGAAGTTCTGTATAAAGATTTCAGGGCAATAACCAAAAATAATGAAGGTAAAGTCAAAGTTTATCAACATAAAATAAATAAGTCAAACCTTGCATTTCCTCCCACAAGCATTTTTCTGCTTCACGCAATCAACACTTCTGGTATTCTCGTTCCCCAAACAATCAAAGAGTATCTCTGTGCAGTTTTTCTGTGAAAACGATCATTATGTTAGCACACATGCAACGACCTTTCTAACATCTTTTTATATATATTCTGAAAATGAGATGCTTATAACACCTAAAATGATTTGGCATAATAATTCGGATGCCCAATTGAATTATTCATTTCATATTTAAAATTCAAAATTCTTTTAATGGGCTGTAACAACATTATTTGTTATGGTTCGGCCACACAGTGGGCAACAACTCGGAGAGGCCTGTCGGGCGGACAGTTTTCATTATTTGGCTTATGTTAAAGTCTTGTAGTAGGGTAATTGATTTATCAAGACAGTGTGAAAAACAAATCATTCAGACAAGATGGTCCCTGGCCGATCCCTGAAACCAGCAGCCACCCGCTCAGACAAATGACTAATCATAAAATTGAAACATGACCCATTTCGTGGAAAGCTGAAAAAACGGAACTTCAAATAAATATTCTGGTTTTAAACATACCCAACAATCTTGAACAGCTACGGTACTATTCTTCGTTCGACTCTATATCAACAAAATATTCACAATCATTATTTTCGCATTTAGGTAGCAAATTCATGTGTGTAATTTAACAAAACTGCGAACACTATTTAAAATTTACAGTAAATAAAATGGTGGACAGCTGCCCTTCCACTCTCCAATTTTCCACCACTAGTTAATGAATTGAACTGATTATACTGACAAGAAGTTACCCTCTAAAAACCGGGGATCCCTGGTTATTTATCCACCTAACACAGTCTGGGTAATTGAACCTCGAAATCCTGGTCATACAGTATGCTCTAGACTATGCAGTAGGTTCGGATAACAACCAAAAATTAACCAGAAATATTAAGTTAACCAAAATAGGGTTATTTCCATGTTAAATAACCAGAGTGTCAGTGTGTTTAGTCAGTGTGCTTTTAGAGAGCAGACATAATAACTGTTGGTGATGCAGACAAAATAAGGCGGATTACTCTGACCGAAGTCGGAATAGTATGCACTTACTGTATGCTCTCAAGCAAAATAGTGAATTATGTTTTCCAGAGAATCGCAATGTTTCCGGAGACGAATATTGGAGGGAAAACAAAATTCACTATTTCCCGAGGGAGCACACATTAAGTACTTTGTTATACAGCGACAAAAAACAGCATTCAACAACATTCGCACCACGATTATATTAAGTGACAAAAACTCTATAGTGTAAACGAATTTAAAATCAAATTAAAGGTTTAAACTGTTTTAGCGGCATATCCTGTTTCCTGTTGTGTATTTTTCTTCTCTTTTACATTCTTTATTTGAACACAAATTTGGAAAATCGTGGTTTCTAATTATGCTAGTCGTGCCGCCATTTTGTTTATTTATGTACGTAGCTGGTGAGGGCGGGCAACAATTTTTCACTTGTTGTCCGGCGGGAAACATTGCATTTATCTGAAGTCACGTGACCACAAATCAGCCAATCACGTTTGGCGTTCACCCTGGCTATACAACAATTGTTGATATCATGCGGAAACCGACTGGAATAATTGTTTTAATTATACATTCAGAATTTAAAAAATTGGAAAGACTCGTGAGTTACGTGCTTTCGTGACAATAATATACATTGAATAAATATCTGCGTGTCGAGAAGCAATTCTTTTGCAAAGCGTTTTATTTCTCTTCCAAATTTTGAAAGGCTTACTAACATGCTGGCGACCGCGCTGGGGTAGGGGCTCTACAGCGAACAGGAAACAGCTGGGTCCAAAACGAAACAGCTGGGTCCTTGCTGATCACGCAAGCAACGGAGGTAACATGGCAGGAACATGATATTTAACATTAATTCAGTTAAAATAGTTGAGTTAAAATAGTATCAATGGCAAGTCACTCGATTTAGGATCCTTAATTAACATACCTTTCTGCAAAGTTCAAAACAACTTTTTAATTTTTCAATGCATTCACCGCGGGTAGAACTACCATTCGTTCACATTAATTCAACGACCTTGAGTTAAAATAGTATCAATGTCAAGTCACTCGATTTAGGATCCTTAATTAGCATACCTTTCTGCAAAGTTCCAAACAACTTTTTAATTTTTCAATGCATTCACTGCGGGTAGAACTGCCATTCGTACAGTCAATTAGATCAACAAAGCACTTTTCCTACAAAATAAAGCAAAATGTATTCGATACTCAGTAAGCATGATAATTGTATGATTATAAAAAATGCAGAATACTTACCCAACAATTCTTGCGGCCTTTTCCTCGACGACGTTTCGCCTCACGATCATCTCTCTTATCATCTTTTTCGTAATCGTCATCACAATCGTCATCATCGTCCTTACCACTCTTACCCCAACCACGTCCTCTTCCCCCACGTCCTCTTCCTTCATCTCTCTTTCCACCGCGTCTATCTTTATCGTTATCATCCATGTCGTAATCATCATCACAATCATCATCATCGTCCCAATCACTCCTTCGCCGACCTGGTTTTCTTCCCCTACGTTGACCTCTCCTTCCATATTCTTCATCATTTTCATCATCTTTGTATTTGCGATCCTTCTAGGTGATTATAGTAAAGGTTTATTGAGAAAAAATCGAGTGACGAAGTGGCCTATATATCTTGAAATGGATTTTTATTTATTTATGTTGAGGGGCGGGAGATTTTTCGAAAGAATTAAAATGCGACCGAGACATAAATATTGTGCAAAGGCTTGTTTCTTTCATATCTTTTATCATACTTAATACATTTTATGCAACAACAACACAGCAAAATTCTCTCTTTGGAGCAGTTGGAAGTGATAATTTGGATGACTCAGTAAGATTGTTTTCTTTACATCTGTGTTTCGCTCGCATATTGTCAAGTTTTCCGATTTTTTCACATACTGTGATCAACTCATAATGAGTAAATTATGCTATAAGCATCTATTTTATCGTTTTCATCAAATTTAGATGAGTCAACTTGTCTGCTGTCGAAAAACGCGAACATTGTTTTTTTCTTTGATCAAATGATGGGAATATACTGTTTCAGAAATCCTTGAAGGAAATTAGAAGCGTGCAATTCTCATGACGCAAACGACATATTTTCAAAAGCAACTCGTAGAAACTACAACTTTTTAATATGTATAGAATTTTTGTTAAGTCGCTAGTTCAAGGAATGATTTTATCGCCATGCATGCAAAATTTGAGAGCAAAATTAGAAATCGCGCTATGAGGTTTTTGGTGAAATGGGTTTCTATTACGTGGAATAACCTTAATAAAATAATTGGTTCAATAAAATTTAAATATCGATATCAAAAAACAATTACTACTGTACACTAGGCTGGCAAGTTTAGTGATATCTCAGGTGGTGAATCAAAAATGATATGATTGGTGTAGAGTAATTTCGTTCTGATGTTTGTGTCCGGGAACGCTCTGTATATAGATGTCGAGCTATAACTAAAAATCATGAAGATAAAGATAAAGTTCAATTGTCAACATAAAAGGAATAAGCCAAACCTTGCATTTCCTTCCACAAGCATTGTTCTGCTTCACGCAATCAACACTTCTCGTATTCTCATTCCTCAAACAATCAAGGAGTGTCTCCGTGCAGTTTTTCTGTGAAACCGATCATTATGTTAGTACACATGCCACGACATTTCTGAAATCTATCACACACTACACAGTAGTCTTAAAGATTGAAACGCAACTCATTTCTTGGAAAGTTAAAAAAAGAAATTTCGAATAAAATTTTCGTTTTAAACATACCCAACAACTTCGAACAGCTACGGTGGTATTCCTGGTGCGATTCTATATCAACAAAATATTCACATTAATTATTTTCGCATTAAGGTAACACATTTATGTGCATAATCAGTAACCCAACTGCAAACATTAAATTTTAAATAAAATGCCGGGCAGCTGCCCTTCCATGCACTCCACAATTTCCCGCCAATAATTACTAATATGGACTGATTATATGATAAGAAATTACACTCTAAAAACACAATAGCCGCGGGGATCAGTGGTTATTTATCCACCTAACATATGTTCATATGTTCCAGACTATATCACTTATTTACTGAGACCGAGGGAAACCTTGTGGACCCGAGACCGCCGTTGTTGCCCGAGGCGAAGCCGAGGGCGATAACGGCGATCGAGGGGACACAAAACACTGCTTTCCCGAGGTCTCAGTAAATAAGTGTTTTGTTATATAGTATATATATAAGTGTCAAAGTATGAATAATTCACCGGTCATTGCACCCATTCTATTGTTTACCGGTCAATAAGTCAATAAATGTTTCATTGTTGTCCTGTTGCCTCCTCGCCAAAGCATGCAGTGAACATGACCTTTTGTAGACCGGCACGTGATACGATTTCGACCAATCGGCAAACAGAAAAATTGAACTTTGAGACTAACTATATAACAAGTCAAAATAACGACCAAATATTAAACAGAAATATTAGGTTAACCAAAGTAGGGTTATTTCCATGTCAAATAACCTATTTCCATGTCAAATAACCAGGGAATTTTAGCCGAGTGCTTGTAGAGAGTAGACACCAAAAAAAAACGAAGAACTATTGGTGACGCAGACAAAAGGCGCATTACTCTGACCGAGTAATGAATAATCGTTTTAATTATACCTTTTAGAATTCAAAAACAGTTGGAAATACGCTATATAAGACTCATGGGTTACACTGCTTTTGTAACAATAATTTGAATAACTAGCTGCGTGTTGAGAAGCAATTCTGCTACAAAGCATTTTGTTTCTCTTCCAAAATTCCAAGGCTTACTAACATGCCGGCGACCGCTCTGGGGCTCGGGCTGTATAGCGTACAGGAAACAGCTGGGCCGAAGAAAAGGATTGTTTCTCGCTGATCATGCAAGAAGCGGAGGAAACATGGCAGCAACATGATATTTAACGTTAATTCAGCGACCTCGAGTCAAAATAGTATCAATGGCAAGTCACCCGATTTAGGTTTCTTAAATATTCCCGTCCCCAGGGATATGGCTTTTCATAGTCAATGAAACCTCGTTTAGATATATATTAATTGACAAACATTGATAAATAAAACCTTGTGTACACTACTGATTTGAGTAAGGGAACCTTAATTAACATACCTTTCTGCAAAGTTCAAAGCAATTTTTTAATTTTTCAATGCATTCGCCACGGGTAGAACTACCATTTGTACAGTCAATTAAATCAACAAAGCACTTTTGCTATAAAATAAAGCAAAATCTATTCAGTACTCAGTTGGCATGATAATTTTATAAAAATACAAAATGCAAAATACTTACCCAACAACTCTTGCGGCCTTTTCTTCCACGATGTTTCCCCCCACGATCATCTCTCTTACCATCCCTGTCGTAACCATCATCACAATCCTCATCGTCGTCCATGTCACTCTTTTCCCAACCACGTTTTCTTCCCCTACGATGATCCCTCTTTCCACCACCTCTATCTTTTCTATCTTTGTCGCCATCAAGCCTGTTGCAATCATCATCACAATCATCATCATCATCGTTCCAATCACTCTTTCCTCGACCACGTTTTCTTCCCCGACGATTACCTCTCTTTCCATCGCCTCTATCTTTGTCGTCATCATCCCTGTCGTAGTCATCATCACAATCATCATCATCGTTCCAATCACTCCTTTCCCGACCAGGTTTTCTTCCCCTACGTTGACCTCTCCTTCCATATTTTTTATCGTCCTCATCATCTTTATATTCGCGATCGTTCTAGGTGATCAATATATAAAGCTTTCTTAACAAAATATCGAGTGATGAAATAGCCTTTCTTCAAAAGGATTTTCATTGATTTGTGATGAAGGTCAAGCAGATCTTACGATTCACGCAAGGTTTTTCGAAAATGTAAAAATGCGAGCGAGATGTCGATATTGTGCGGCGGCTTCTTTATTTAATATCCTTTATCATATTTTATACTCTATATACAACAACAGCACACCAAAATGTTCCATTTGAAGCGATTGGAAATGATAACTTAGATGGCTCTGTAGCATTGTCTTCTTTATATTTGCGTTTCGCTGGCATATTAGCAAATTTTTTTTTGTTTGTGTTTTTTCACATATTGTGATAAACTAATGAGTAAATGACAACGAAAATCCTTAGCAGAACACGCTTAAATAAGTTAAATCTGACAGGTTCACAGTTTGCGGTGATATAACAGAATGGAGAAGCGTAGCAGAGTCCCCCCCCCCCCAATATCTTTTTGTCTTTTACTTGGAATGAAATGTTCTCAGATTTTCCCACAAATAGAAGGGCACCGCACACGTTTTATCCGAATCCTTCAGGAGTAAATGCCAACGAAAAACCTTAGCAGACACGCTTGAATTCGAATAAGTTAAATGTAGCATGTTTACAGTTTTTGGTGACAGAACAGAATGGAGCACGTCAAGTAATCATGCGATGGCGATTACTAGTACCAGAAATGTTTGGAAATTTTGCCAAAATTGGACGAATCGCCTTTTCCTTTTCAGTTATTAGTATGACAACATTGGATAATTCTCAATGACAACATCATAATTATTCACTCGCCAAAGCCCAGTCCTGCCTTTTGTTCGTATTTACATTTATATATTTTTCTTTAAGTTCCTCTAGGGCAATTTGTGTTTAAATACCTTTCCGCTATATTTTTGTATTAAAATTTGTCATTCTAATAATTTTTGAACAATTATTAAACAATAGTATGCGCAAACCGTGTTCGCGTTTTTTGATTTGGTGCCATACATTTCAAGTCATAGGCATTTGTTCTTTGTCTGCTTTGTTTCAAAACAAATACAACACCTGTCAAATATAATAAATTCTCTCGGCAAAGCACGTCATGTTTTCAAAAGCAACTCGTCGTAACTACATTTTTTAAAGATGTACAAATTTTGTTAAATCGTTAGCTCCAGCGATGATTTATCATCATACATGTTTAATTTGATCGAAAAGATTAGAAATCACGCAGTGAACTTTTGGATGAAATTGGTTTCTATCATGAGCTACTTAGTAACCTAGATAAAATAATTGTTTCAATAAAATTTACATATCGATATCAGGAGAGAATTACTAATGTACACTAGGTTGGCAAGTTTAGTGATATCTCAGGAGGTGAATAAAAAATTATCTGATTGGTTTATATTTCGTTCTGTTGATTTGTGTCTCGGAAAGTTGAAAGTCAGGGATATAACAAAAAATTGTGATGGTAAAGAAAACGTTTGTCAACATAAAACCAATAAAAGAACTAATTCATACCTTGCATTTCCTTCCACAAATATCTTTCTGCTTCACGCACACGGCACTTTTCGTATTCTCATTCCCCAAACAATCAAAAAGTGTCTCTGTGCAGTTTTTCTGTGAAAACGATCATTATAGTTAGCACACATACCACATATCACTTTTCGAAAATAAGATGCTCATAATACGTCTGATGGTTTGGTATAATATTTGGGATACCCAATTAAATTACCCATTTCGTATTTGAAAAACTTCTTCAACATTATTTCCTATTGTTCGGTCACATTACACACTAAGAGATTTGTCTTGGGAGACTGGTCGCGAGGACAGGTTTTGTTGTTTGACTTATGTTAAAGTCTCTTATAAAGGGAAATAATTGGTTTCGTATCATACAACCATATGCAGTGGTGGAGGAAAATGAAATTGGGCAATCAGAGAAGGGCATTCTGACATAAATCAACAAATCAGATAAGGTGATTTCCTTGTCTCAACGATTTTTCGTAAAGCAATGTCGCTTCGTGAAAACATTTTTCTCCACTAGTTGACGACCCTGAGACCTGTCGTCCCGTATGACGAATGACTAATCTTGAAGATTAAACTTGAGTGGGAAAGCTAAAAGTAGAAATTTCAAATAAATATTTTCGTTTGAAACATACCCAACAATCTCGAACAGCTAACGTGCTATTCCTGGTGCGATTCTATATCAACAAAATATTCACAATCACCATTTTTGAATTCAGGAAATAAATTCTTGTGTATAATTTAAATTAAATTAACACAACTGCAACGCATGTGCGCCGAAGGAAAGGATTGTTGGTCGTTGATCACTTCAGGAGCAGAAATAACATGGCAGTGAGCTGGTGCCGGTTTAACAGTTATTCTGCGACCCCGAGTCAAAATAGCATGAATGGCCATGTATTAACTCAATTCACGTTGCTTACATATTCCAGTTCTCTGGATTAAGGAGCTTTTATAGTCAATGATCCTCGTTGCATTCAAAATGACTATTTGGTGCATTAGCCATAACTTTACAGACATTAAAAAAGACCTTGTGTACACTACTGTCCAGAGTAGGGAAATCTTAATTAACATACCTTCCTGCAACCTTGAAAACAATTTTTTAATTTCTCTATGCATTCACCGCGGGTAGAACTACCATTCGTACAGTCAATTAAATCAGCAAAGCACTTTTCCTATAAAATAATGCAAACCATTCTCGATACGGATGCTTAGTAGGCATGGTAATTGTGTTATTTCCAAAAATCAAAAATACTTACCCAACAATTTGTACGGCCTTTTCCTCGACGATGTTTTCCTCCACGGTCATCTCTCTTATCATCCCTGCCGTAATCATCATCACAATCGTCATCATCGTCCTTACCACTCCTTCCCGGACCACGTTCACCCCAACGATGGCCTCTCTTTCGACCGTCTCTGTCTTCTCTACCTTTATCATCATCATCCCTGTCGTAATCATCGTCACAATCGTCATCATCGTCCTTGTAATTCTTTCTCGAACCACGTTTTTTTCCATACGATTATCTCTCCTTACATCGTTTCTAACTTTTCGATCTTTATCGTTATCATCCCTGTCGTAATCATCATCACAATCATCATCTTCCCAATCACTCTTTTCCCGACTAGGTTTTTTTCCCCGACGATTATCTCTCCTTCCACTGTCTCGATCTTCATCTTTATAGTCTCTATTTTCCCGATTCTCCTAGATGATCAACAAAGAAATTTTATTTAAACTTATTTATCTTCCAACACATATAGTAGTTCGAATAAATTTGTTTATTTTGTGAAAGTATATTTGGGAAAATTCTTGAATTATAGAATCGGTAAAGTGCTATTTTCAGCATTTGGAAGCCGAAGGCCATTTAACGCGTTTTGATGGTTTTATATAACTATAAACACATAACGACTCTACTTGATCACAAACGGTACATGCCCATGCTGTATAATATCACATAATTAAAGTATAAGCCAAATTAAAGTATAGTCATAATTTGCCATATAACGCTAAAACCGGTTTTCGCTTGGCGCATTCGTTCCTGTTAGCTAAACTTCGCGAAACCAGTTTTCTCTTTTCTAGTTTTCCAAAATCTGTTAAAAATATTAATGGTACGCACACGAAAATACGCCAATTCGCACATTAATATCGTTGGAATTGAAACAAATTGATCAAATATCTTAAAAATTCTACAGCAAAGCTGACTAGAAAAAGACTCGTGAAATGGGCAACGAAATCGGAGCATAAAGCTATCAGTACATATACGGCGAGTAGCGAAAAACAAGATAGCGGTCCAATAACTACATGGAGTTTATGAAGTCGAAAAAAGGAAAATATTCGCTTTGAGAAAGGTAATAGTACAAGGAAAAACTCTCAAAAAAAATTTGACAGGTTAGCAAAATACATTTATTATGTAGAAATTAGATTAAATACAAGAAGTAATGCCGAAACAACAGCGAAAAAACATGTTCATTGAGAATAAAAATTTTTCAGAAAAGTTTGCAACGAAAGAATTTGCAGTGAACAAGCACTTATATACTATACTACCAAACATTTGTATAATATATCTGAGCTTTTCTGTGAGATATACCGGCTGTAAAACCATTTCTTTCACTTCGTCTTCGAGTTGTAAAACAAAAGTATTTCAAAGTTTTCAAAGCCAAGCGGTTTTTGGCCGAACAAATTGTCAAGACGTTAATTGTACAGAGGATAATTAATAATTGCTTTAGTTAATTAATGGCTATTAGACTACATTATAAAACAACTATACCATTCGCTCTCGTCGCATATGGCTGATAGCCGACTCGTCGCATATGGCTGATAGCCGACTATATATATATATATATATATATATATATATATATATATATATATATATATATATATATATATATATATATATATATATATATATATATATATCTTGTTTGTCGATGCTGACACGTATCTGAAGAGTGCTCAATGCAGGTACGATTTTGCAGAGCAAAACTATTATTAGTGTAGACTAAGACATGATATCTGAAGATAATTTAATAAAACCTAAAGCTATTTACGATAAAAGTTTTAATAAAACCTAAACCTATTACGATAAAAGTTTTTATCGTAAATAGGTTTAGGTTTTATTAAATTATCTTCAGATATCATGTTTTAGTCTACACTAATAATATATTATACATATATATATATATATATATATATATATATATATATATATATATATATATATATATATATATATATATATATATATATAATATTATTAATGAGACCAAAGATGATCAAATTTTACAGCGTAGAAAGAGTGCTCAATACCATTTAATAACGTAGAGCAAATAATTTAATTTCTTAACTTAAAATATAGTCACAACTCTGAGTTTCACGCTCAATGCGATCTTCAGGCGACAATGTTTAAATCTCAATAAAAAAATCCTGTATGATTACGTGCGAGAAGATTACTGAACAGGAGATGTGAGCTATTCTCGAAGTGTTGCCACCGGAAACAATTCTTGGCGGGAAAATTTGAACGTGCGCACGCAATACCATCATGACGCAAGTAGCCTAACGAACTCGCACGTAATC